TTTCCGATGTTTACATATCTTTTTTCTTTTTTTTTTTACAATCATCACTGAAGAAACGAACAAAAAGATAACAAACAAATGTTGTGGACGATACTTCGCTGAATTAAACGGTATGGGATTTCCGTTTTGACACCTGCGAACTCAATGTAATCACTTTCCACAAAATGCAAGGAGCATATAAATCAGGTAGCGTCCGCTCTCCGAGGTGCCCGTAAATGTTCTACAGGAATTGCAGCCAGCCATTGGTCCCGATCCCGTTGATCTTTCGGAAACTCTGTCGCACAATGCCACTTTTTATCGGACGCAGGACATGTGAGCCAGCTCTTCACGCAACATCTTGGGTTTATTCTTTTCGGAGCCGATCATGGAAATTCACCACGGGCACTCACTACTCATCTCGAACTCCTCAATGTACAAAACAACTCATCTTGGAGTACAGAACAACGAGCGGAACAAACATAACTGCAAAAGAATCGCACGGCAAGCAGTTCCCGCACGCCGCATCGCACGCCGCATGTCGTGTCGTCTGCTACCGGAAAGGAGAAAAAAAAAAAAAAAAAAAAAAACCGCACGGTCGTGTGTAGCCACGTGACTTCCGCCAGTCACTCTCTTCTCTCCACTTCTCCGACCTCCGTCGGGTTTCGGTTTCGGTTTCGAGCAGTTGCGTCTTTTGGCTTTATTAAAGAAATACGCTACTCTGTTGCAAAATATTAATTGGGTAGTCCTCCGACACCATAATGAAGCGCCTGGCAAAAAATAAAAAAAAATTTTTGGGGGGTGTCAGTGTCCCTTTAAGTACCATGTACATAGAGTACTTCCCAACACTGCTTATTTAATAGTTTTTATATAAAAACGTTGGGGGAATTACTACAGGTTTCTCGAACGATCTTTGAATCTTTGAAGACTTGCATATTATGAGTTCTGGGAGGAAAGGCAACGGCAAAAAGGTAATCTTTCCGTTGCCCTTAAGCACGCGATTCTTCGAGTTCAGCACAAACTATGGGAGCACTAGATGAGTTTCGGAGTTGGTGCTGCATTTTGTTACCTCCTTTTAGTGAGGATGCAGTGTGTGCACCCTCTGTGGAGGGCGAGAGTTTCTACGTTGGGGAGAAGCGGAGACCAACCCTTTCTTCAACTAAGTCAAGTCTCCTTGAGCTTCGGGACACACAACATCGTTTAAACTTTTTATGACTAGGCTTCACCAATATTGCAACGTGCCCCCTTCTAATACTTCTAACTAGGGGTGTCACGAACCGGCCGAGGTTCGAGTTCGACCAGGTTCGACTTTTTCAAACTTTTTGTGGAAATTTCGACAAACCTTGTATTGAGGTTCGACTCGTGTGCGCATGCGCGACAGGCTGGCCAGTTGGCTTCGGATTGGATGCTGATGGCTAAGGGATAAATTAAGGTCACCGTTGATTGGTAATTTCAGTTAATACAGTACAAAAACTTAAGTTATTAACTTCTTTAGTAATTAGAATTGTTTTCTTTTAATCGCAACTGTTCATAAAATAAAATCACCCTTTGCATAAAAATAAATTCTCCAAACCTAGACATGCTTGTATCAAGGTCTGGCCACACTGTCCGCAAAGTCGAACCGGTCAAATTTGGTGCAAAGTTCGAAGGTTCGTCGAACCGGTTCGACATAGTCGAACCTCGAAAGTTCGACCTAAAATTCCGGTTCGACAAAAGTTCGCGATACCCCTACTTCTAACTAGGGGTGTCGCGAACCGCCCGAGGTTCGAAATCGACCAGGTTCGACTTTTTCGAACTTTTAGTGGACATTTCGACGAACCTGGTGTTGAGGTTCGACTCGTGTGCGCATGCGCGACAGGCTGGCCAGTTGGCTTCGGATTGGATGGTGATGGCTAAAGGATGAATTAAGGGCAGCACTGATTGGTTATTTCAGTTAATACAGTACAAAAAATTAAGTTATCAATTTTTTCAGTAATTAAAATTAGTTACTTTTAATTGCAGCTGTTCACAAAATTAAAATAACCCTTTGCATAAAAATTTTTTTTCCAAACTTAGACATATGCTTGTATCAAGGTCTGGCCACATTGTCCACAAAGTCGAACCGGTCGAATCTGGTTAAATGTTTCGAAGGTTCGTCGAACCGGTTCGACCCAGTCGAACCCCGAAAGTTCGACCTAAAAATCCGGTTCGACAAAAGTTTGCGACACCCCTACTTCTAACCTTGCCAGCAACGTCGCGGCCGTACGGTTGGTGGTCAGTGTTGTCATCCCTCTAGCAGATTGTTTCGGTTTTGCCGTAGACACCCGAAACCAAACTTTGAGCCCCGTGATATTTATAAAACTACACACAATATCAAGGGGGAAAAAATATACTTTGTAATTCAGAGACACTGCTCTAGCCGAACAGCTGTAATCCCAAATTCAAAAACATTGACCGCAGTTGTCCCTTTAAAGCTATTACTTTATATAAGAGAAAGCCAAAACAGAAAAGTGAAAAGGTTACTGTTTCCCAAGGATCATGCTTATTTAATCTTGTAATTTAAGTAAAATAATGACAAACTTGGCCTCTTGTACAACTCTTCTACATTTAAAGGGGCCCTGCAATGACTTTTTTACTAATTTTTAATTTACACCGAACCTGAGCGCACTGAACGTAGTAACTTAGTGAAACTTTTCCTTTCTTGAAATTCTCTTTATTTTAAAAGTTATAGGCAAATTAAAAGTACAAAAACAAGCAAAAAATAACCTCCCTCATGACGTCCTTGGTTGCTTGAGAGTGGCCGTGAACTAGAGGAGGGGTAGTGAGCTTATCGAGCGCTCACGGCTGCCGCACTCCGTGTCGACGGCGCGAGAGGGCGCCATTAAAGCGTGGTCTGGATAGGCTGTTTGCAGCGGGCAGCCAGAGCGGCTCTCATTGCATTTGCTGCGCGATTAAACACTAATTCGGCATGACACTTCATTGGCCACAAACGACAGCAAACACGGTGTGAAGATCAGTTCAGAGTGGGAGCTACTTTGCGCTGCCATACCGCGAAACGGCCAAACCGCAAGGCAAAGCTCGCCGAAGGCCTTCGGAACGCTCGGAGCCGGTCGGATCCTCCTGCCCATACGACCGCAGCGCCGCTGCGTACATCCGGGACCTTTCCATGTCGGCGCCTGATCCCACTACTTCTTTCTAGTATGCGCCGCCTTTTCCACCGCTTGGTGGCGGGTATGTCGATGGGTCATTTCTTCTTTCCGTACTTTATGTTGCGGCATTCGTTTCTTTTTTGATCTAAAATACTGAACAAAAACTACTTTTATAAATAATTGAAACGGTCAGCGCCACTTATATTTTGTATTTCGACTAAAAAGAAGCTTTTAGCGGCTCTGACCAGTAGTAATAAGCTCAGGACCAAAGACGTCACATTTTGCGCGCTTTCGGTACCGTGGGTCGCCCTCGTCGGTGGAGGAGGTTTCCGCGTCGTCCAGTTAAAATATGACGCACTGATATTTAGTTACTCTCTCCGTGCCCGCTGGCTTGCCCGACCCCTAAGAGACGTGGAAACCGCAAAAAAGGTAGGCGCTTAAATATGATTGCAGGGCCCCTTTAAGCATTTTCGGCGATTTTTTAACATATCTTAGAAATAAGTTTCTAAGCTGAAACTTTTTGCACAGAGCGTTTTATTCTTCGTTCATTTTTTAACAAGAAGTTAGCGCTCAACTGCCGTAGGGCGAAAAATGCCGAATCAGTTGGCTGTGAACGTATTTGCGGCGTCCGATATTCGGTGGAAGAGCTAAAGCGCACGCTCATAACGCTTTCCACAACCCAGCAGGCACGGATGGCAGCGCGCAGCTCTCCAGAAAATGTAAGCCCCCTCCCTCCCTCCAAGGTCTGCCTCCCGTCATTCGACGCGCCACTGTTTTGGAGACGGCTGCTACGGTAACAGCGTACTCTATGGAATACACAGGGTTTGAAGACCAGCGTCTACATGGGACTGCCGTAGTCCCTGAAGAGTAGTTCTGAAACGCAGCCTCTAGAATGGCGCTTCAAACGACGGGTGGCAGGGTTGAGGCTTGAGGGGTCGATCTGAGGAAGCACGAGTGACGTCAGTGACCCGACATAGCAATATACAGAAAGGAAAAAGAAAGAGGCAGAAAAAAAATAAATGAAGGTTGTGGAGGTTTGGAGAGATTTGCAGCTTGAAAATATACGGGATTTACCAATTAGACACTCGATGGCACCCTGTTAGCTTAAACATGATTTAGGTAATGATGCATCGTTTCACGAAAGCACAGTGAGAGCACAGGCAAGCTAGTGTAAACTCACTTTTTTTTTTTTTGTTGAAACACCCAAGACTGGGTGAGAAAATCTTGGAACAACCAAAACAAGGGACAGGGAAGGTAGTCAGAATAAGTTCCAGGCTTCCTTTCCTTTCAACACTTCTCTCTCAGACGTCTCTCAGTCTCTTCTACTTTGGTTATTTCAAGATGTTCTCACCTAATCTCGGGTGTTTTAACAAAACTGTTTCTCACAGATTTGGAGTTCTGCCGGTGTTTCTGTCTGACACTAGCAACTCCTTCACCGTAAAAAAAACCAAAAAAACTGAGCAACCGCTTTTAAAATTATAAAGATAACCTTAAAACACAGGGGGATAGGCAATTGTTAGGTACAAAAGCATAAATGCAGAACGGGCACATAATAGGGTGGGCTCCACTGCTCTGCACCGGAGTGCTTGGAGAAGCAGCTGACGCAAAGGGGTTAGCTAGCTGTTAGCTAGGCGGGATCTGAATTTCAGGGTCGGTATTTAAATGTCCTTTGCTTATTTTCCAAAAGTTTTAAAGCAGAGGGTTGGTGCTTAAGTCTCCAAATAGTTCTGAAAATGGGCTGGGAGAGCCCATTCTTCATCATTAAAAAATATTGTCAATCTGATTATATCAGTTTGTAGAGTAAATCCTGTCAAAAAGGGTTTTACCCGAAAACGAAGAACCCGCGTGTACTTACTTTTTAAAAAGGTGAAAAAGCAAACACTGCCCTAAAGACACTTTTTGTTGCTGGTTTCATGTGGAAAACAAAGTATTTATTACAGGCTCTATGTACAAGGCTTCACAATATTTTCAGTTCAATGGCAACACCTTTTTCAAACCTATTAAGAAACATTTCTTTGGGAACTGACATACACTACTGCTGGCATGACACCTAGTGTCTCCATATAGTCAAAAAAATAAAAATGGTAACTCAGAGCACTTGTCCAGTGCATGCGCAATAAAAAATTTAACACATGTCCCTAATGAATGCCCACAAAATTTTAAATAGAAAATATCAGAAATACAGATGAGATTCCATATTTCGAGTTTGCACAAGAGGTTGCTTATCACAGTGCTAAATGAGATTAAACAACCAAATAAAACAACATAACTGTGCCATTCATGCTCGATGTAGGAACCTTCAAGAAAATGCCACTGTCATGTAAACAAAACATACAAGGCTGTGAACCAAGATAACCCCTGCACTGGTTAAACTAAAGCTGAGTGAAAGGAGGGTTACACTGTCTCACCAGAAAAACTGTAATCTTAGAATAATAATCGGAAGAAAAAAGCTTGAGAGGCTCCCATTTGTGTTTGGCCATTCCCAATCAAGCCGAGAAACGAAACGCATGTGAATGTTCTTTGTGCAGTTCCTGTTCACATAGGCCAGCAACAGTGGCAATCCATGTTAGATGCTGCACAGTAAAGCACCCAAACCTAAAAACAACTCAAACTTGATTGATCTATGTACAACTAGGCAAATACCATCTTTTGGTACTAAAATGCAAAGAATAAATACTTCTAGGTACACAAAATGCTACATCGTTGAGTCACGTGAACACCAGACACCTTGTGCGCAAAAAATTTATGAGGTGCGCGACAAAATGTGGGAACTCAAATAAAAAAAAACAGCAAGTCAAGAATGATGGTGCCATTGTCTTTTAGCGCCCCTCTCCTTGCATTACGGTTGAAGTCCAGTCGTGGTTGCAAATGCCTCAGTCTTAGAAAAAAACCATTGCTTCAACGAAATTCAGCACACTTGCCGAACCAGTGTTCTCTCTTCTACAGCACCTTCTTACAAAACCAGAACCTATAAAGGCATATCCTGTGTGCCTTAACTCTTACAGCTGCACCACGGGTCGCCCGCTAAACATGCTGAAACCTTCACAGCCCGAACGGCAAACAGACCATATCAAGAGGTACAAACATTCCCTTCCTGTCGTAAAAGACAGATTCTGTTCCCCTTACAAATGTGTCACAAAATTGTGAGACACAACCAGTGGTAAAAACGTGCCACATCCATCCATCCAGCAGAGTCCTTCACTCGATCGGGCGGAGCGTGACGCGAGATTGAACAGTAGAGCGGTGGGACGCAGACTTGCAGACGACGTGGGGTTAGCGGGTCGGGGCCTAGGCGGTTTGAATGCCGCTCTCGCTGAAGATGGCATATTTCCGCCTCAGCTCTGTCCAGAAGACCAGGCTCAGTACCGTGTGAGGTCCCAGCCTGAGGAAGCTGGCCGTAACTCCCTTGTAGAAGCCCATCACGCCTTCAGTCTTGAACACCTTTGAAAATAAATAATCGCTAGGTTAGAGGTAAGTGCGAGCACCCTAGCAACATTTTTCAATGTCCAAACAACGGTGGAAGAAGAGACGGGTGTTTGAACAAGACCAGAAAAGGGGACAAAAATTCACTGGGGCTTTGCACGTCTCCCAGAAGGGGCGCTGTCGGTTTGGGACTCCCGCACAGGTGCGGTTGCGCGCAGTGCGGCACTGAAAAGTGAGAGCAAATAAGCTCCTCGAGATCCTCGTCACATGCGCATCCTACGACATTTGTCATAAATTATAGCGAATCTTTGACACACTCGTTCTATGGCAAAACGGTGCAGTTCAGACACCTCTCCCTTCTTCAACCGTGGTCTAGACTCACAAACTACAAAAAGTGATTGCTTGGAGCTTACACTGGAACTGATACACTAGGGAGCTTTAGTAGATTGCTTATGCACTCTGGGAGCCATGGTCCAGACTTTCATAGTTTTTTTCCCCCACCACACTACTGAAATTACATGACCAATTTATGGAAGATTGAAAACCAATAATTAAAGGAGCTGTGCAACATTTTCAGTGCTTTGCTTAAATAATTGTTGGAGTTGGTGTCTCGACCCTTCTGAAGTAAAGAACGAAAAACCGCTTTTGCCTGAATGTCCTAGTTTTTATTTTTAAAAAATGACAAAGATAGGGGTTTTTGGCACCTCTCACCCCCTTCACCATCTTCCAAGTCACGTGCGCTGTGACGTGAAAGGGGGACCCGTGGGGTTCCGGTGAAGATCTCTCTCTAGTGCCATCAGTGAGCAGCGAGAACTCACCCACTTGCAAACAAAATGACCCTATGCTTGCGCCGCATGATCAACATGGCAAAAGGACAAAAGTGCCAACGTGCACAACTGGGTTCCGCCGTCCCCTACGCCGTCCAGCTAATGTCCGGCATCTGGCGGCTCCTCGCGGTAGCATATAGAGCCAACGGTTTTCTTGACCTCGGATAGATGGCGCCACTAAAACTCCATATAACAAAAAGTTTTGTCACTGATACCAGGTTTTGACGCATTTATATTTATGTTGAAATGTCAAGATTTATAGAAAAATTACCTTTCATCGAAAAGGTAGTTGCACAACTTGCTATTTTTTACAAGCCCCCCCCCCCCTTTTGACGTCACGCCGCGTTGCTCTCATGGCCGCCACTCGCAGCTGCAGATCGTAAAATTTTCTCATTTTTGCCTCGTTATTACGTTGCGGAATCACAGCATTTTAAAGGAAGGAGATGTGTTTTTTGCCCTTTGTGACTAGATAAACAATGTAAAAAGTAGAAAATGCAAATTCTCTTAACGTTAAAATTGTTGTGCAGGCTATGATCGACACCATTTTTCAATTTTACTGCTTCATTATTGTCAATCTGCCACACAATCATATTCCACATCGAGTGCGAGCTGCGGAACGACCAGCAGCATGGCTAGGTCCAGACAGATCCATACATTGTTGTGCATTTGAAAGTGCTAGTTGAAGGAGAACGAAAAGGACCATCTGCTTCAGATAAATTCTTTAGATGGACCGACTTTTCAGTTTTAACAGCCCTGTACACTGGGTTTGTTTCTCGACAGGATCCGTTCAGTCGATGGCTAAAAACTTTGTCTTCTTTTTCAACACCTGTGTTCGAAACCAAAACTGTATTGCAAACATGTGATGTACATTTAATTACAAGAACAGCATTAAATGACTCATTCTTTTATCACTTTTGAAGACTAAATAAGGCTGCATATCTATTCAACATTTTTACAAAACTACCACAATGTTTTGTTGCTTATGCTGCCGAAGAGGGTTGCATGGTCAATTCAGAATGGATGGTCAGAAAAGAACACAGCCCACTTCCAGTAAAAGAATAAAAAGGTCACCCGTGAAAACAGTCTGCCTGTGGGTTCTGGCAGCATGGGGCATGGTCTCTGAAAGCTTTGTCGTGTTGAGAAGATGGGACTGTCAAATGTGCTTGACGAAACTGAAGACAATAATATTTGAAACGCAAGTGATGACGACAACCACGACGATGGCCACCATGGTACCGAAAGTGAGAGTTCAGACAGCAACTCCGCGTAAACAAAGTAAGAGTGCCTCGCGAAATTTAAAAAAAAAAATATATATATAAAATCATTGGTATGACATTTCTTTTGTGTGCTGCATCCTACGACCTTTGTAGACGTGTTATTTGGGACGTGTTTGTGAAATCTCCGCATCATTTGTGCCCCCATTTTCTGATGTACCGAAATTCAAAAAGAAAAGTGTACAAATTAGCAAGTAAATCAGAGGTACTCCCTACTGTACGAGGAAAGTCGCACAAAAGTTTTCATGCAGACAATTTTTTCTGCATTTATAAAGGACTAGGACGGCCATTACATTACCTGAGCAACTTTCAAAGCAAGATATAGTATAATTTTTGTCCGAGCTTGTTGGTAGCAAGGCCTTCAATTAATTTCGAACAGATTGAGATAGGCTGCCTTGAAGTTTTTCTCTGCGACTTATTCCCCGATTCTTTCCTCACGTAGTGACACCACAAGGCCATGAAGGGGCTCGCGGCATTTTGAAATAAAAATAAATATATCATAACCTGTCCAGTGTCCTCGCAATTAGAGAAAGGCTGACTGCAGCAAATATTTAGCCCTGGAAGTGTAAATGAAATCCTTCTGGCAAGCTGTTTTGTCCAATTCTGTCTGCCCTAAACACCCAACACAGGAACAGCTTTTCCCTTCTGCTGAGCTCTCAACAACCAACATGTATTTTTTCCCTTTTTCTTTTTTGTTGGCAGCCCTTTCCTTGAAAAAAAAATCTCGAAAAGTTGAACTGATCACAGCCCATCACTTGTCTGGTCTCCGTGGTTTTGCTCTGTCACCAAACCCATACTACTTCATTATCTCCGTCAAATAAGCACTGAAATATTGTCGCATGTCCATATACCACAGCTCATGAAAAGACAGCGTTGTCCATTCCTGTATTATAGCCAACTTAAAGGAGGACATGGGTCTTTGGAAACAAAACATTCCTAAAACCTCAATCTTTTGAAAATAGCAATGTTGACTTCTACAGCTGTCGCCTTTCTGAATCTAACACGTTTCCAATTTCGTGGATGAATATTTGAGCTATACATCAATTTATAATGTCTATGCAGGCTGAATGTGCGTTGAAGTCGACTCTAAAATTGTGTTTTCACAAAACACAATTTTTCAACTTGTTGAAAATTTGCAGGATGGATATCTCAGCATCTAGGGCACATAGAAATATAACTTCTCCGAAAACAAGTAGCTAAATGTGTGAAGCATACAATGTTGAGAGCAGATATCTAATATAAGTCTAAGAAATTTTTCTAATTTATATTTTGTTTTATTATTAGTTAGCCACATATAGTGCTCTGAACTTCAATGCGTCATAAAATCACTAATAATAGGTTAATCTTGAAAGTGGTTCCAACATTGCATTATCTACACTTCGTAGTATCTAGCCATGTGCTAAAAAGGATATTTTGTTCAGTAGTTTTTTTTCCCTATTGTTCCTCCAAACAAATGCAGGTGAGCTTTAATTATCTTGACGACACTTGACGACTTAATTATCTACTAACTTAGAAAATGACCAGATATTTTAAATCAGCCCTAAAAGCTGAATAAACTTGTGCGGTTTCATTAGGTTTCGTCATAAAATAAGAAAAAAGCTCCAAGGCCAATGTTCCCCTTTAAGCCTGTGCAGCATTGTGTGGTTCACATTCATGCCTGTCGTCATATCTAACATGAGGCCACTCAATTCGGCAGTTCTTTTCTATATTTCCCATGAATATATCTTTTCTATATTTCCCATGTGGAAACAAACACTAATAAGTAGTGATGGGCCAAACTTTTGAAGAATCGGCAATAGACCCTTTCCGAAATTCAGACTGGCCACTTTGATCACTACCATCATCTGTGGAACGGCATCTGTGCCATACCAATGGCGGCCTTGTAGTGACTGATAAAGGAAGACGTTGAAGATGCTCCTAAGCGGATGATGCAAGGCCTGTACATTCGGGGGGTCAGTACGACGCGACGTAGGAAAGGAACACAAGAGCTACGTAAGCGTTTATTTCTAATAACTCAGATTCAGTCAATCTGTGGGCGGCACACAATCGGCTTTAAAGCACCTTGGTGTATAGAATTTTCTCGAGCCATCTGAGTGGGTTGGTGCTTTGTTCTGAATGCAGGTTCTTGGTCACCATCGAACTGAAAGTGATCGAGAAAGAATTCACAATAAACAAGTCCTCGCATGCCGTTGACTTGCTAAAGTGATGGTGCCGGTAGAAGTTCATATCCGCCATTGATATGGCAAAACATAAACTGCTTTACGAACCACCAGATGGCACTGAATTTCGGAAATGGTCTATTCGGCGTCGAATATTGAGGTTCAGCAAAGCCGAAGTTTTGCCGATCTTTTCTAAAGATTCCGCCAAAATACATTGTTGCCAGACTTAAAAGTTGATATTTTGTTGTTTTCTGGCAAAAGAAGTTTTTCATTTTTTTTATTCCTTAAATACAACATATACTGCATATTGACACAGTTATTACTAAATAAGGTGATATTCTACAAGATAATTGTATTGGTGTCATTTTTGTGTGTTTACTGACAAATTTTATATTGATTTCTTGCAGAAGTGGTGTGAAAACGAGGTTGGGTAGTAGTGGCCACAGTCATGATACGAGAGTTTCAGTTCTGAGGCCTTAACAGCACAAATGTACAAGTGTGTACCGTATTTACTCGCATAATTTGCGCCCACACGTAATTTGCGCACCCCTAACTTAAGGCCCAGATTTCTAGAAAAAAACTAATTGCTTGCGTATTTTGCGTGCCCTGCACCGTTCTGCACCAGCAAGCCAACCGTTTCTCCAGACGCCCCACAGGCACGCGAGCGAAAAGCTGCGGAAATTCCGCGCAACCGTGAGAGGCGAGAGTGAGAGAAAGATGCGACTCTGCGCTTCCCTGCGCGAGCTACGGGACGCGCG